AGAGCTGCAGGGGAGGACAGAATGGAGGGCGAGGTGCAGCCCACTCCGTGCCTAGAACGCAGCCGGCCCTCACCTCCCTGGGGCGGTCACCGCAGCCAGGTCAGAGCTGTCGGGAGGTCCTGGCGGTGAAGGTGCGGCGACTGGCGCTTATCCATTGGTCCCAACCCCGCCGCCAGGCGTTGTGCCCCCGAGTTCAGGGAGGGAGCCCTGTGGGAGGCCCAGAACTTCTCCTGTCCTCCCTGCCGGTCTCTTCTTCCCTGTATCAAGTGCTGAGCACTGGCATGCACCGAGCCCGACCCGGGGAGTGGCCGGATTCTCTCATGGCCTCTAGGGCGTGTGGTTTCACATCAGCATGATTTAAGTGCAGTGGTAGGAAATGACCTCAACTTTTCCAGCCTCGCTTTCTTTGCTTCGGTACTAGGTTCCGTAGCAAAAAGAAAAAACAAAAAAACAAAACAAAACAAAAAAAACTCGTAAAAAGTAATGTTGTGTTTTTTACCTAAATGAAAGTGATTCAATAACGATTCTGTATTAAAATGTGGTTTTAAGAAAAGAAGTGTAATTGTATTAAGTTGGAGTTTTTCCTATTTTCGTGTTATTGAATTGTTAACTTGGTAGTTATCACATTAATAATGACATGTTATTAATATTAACTTGATACTTAGCTACTAACTTGGTTATTTGTCCATCTATAAATACTTTTTGAGCTTTTCTCATATACCAGGCACTGTTGTAGGCAGTAGATAAAATGAGCAAGCAAACAGAGAAACAGAAGCTTAAGATCCCTGCCCTTACGGAGGTGACCTTTGCTTCTACAGAGAAGCCCCGGGAAGCCTGTTTCGACCCTGGAAATATAATGAACGGGACACGCATTGGCACGGACTTCAAGCTTGGCTCAACCGTGACCTACCAGTGTGACTCTGGCTACAAGATTGTGGACCCCTCCTCCATCACGTGTGTGATCGGAGCGGACGGAAAACCTGCCTGGAGTCAGGCCTTGCCTTCCTGCAACGGTACGCGTGGGCCCTGTGCTGTCGTTCATAACACTTTTACTTTAGAATGCACGGTCTCATTTGACTTTCACTTTAGAATGCAACGTCTCAGGGGCGCCTGGGGGGCTCAGGTCATGATCTCATGGCTCATGAGTTCAAGCCCCGCATCAGGCTCTGTGCTAACAGCTCAGAGCCTGGAGCCTGCTTCCGATTCTGTGTCTCCCTCTCTCTCTGCCCCTCCCCTGCTCATGCTCTGTCTCTCTGTGTCTCAAAAATAAATAAATGTTTAAAAAAATTAGAATACAACATCTCATTTTACTTTTACTTTAGAATGCAATGTCTCATTTTAGAAATGCTGTCACGCTTCGGTGCTGTAGTCTCCTAACCAGTGGTTAGGGTTAGATTCCCTTACAGAGCCAATGCAGACTAAGTATTTCACATGCCTTGATCATTTGATGTATGGCCATTGTCACAGGCTTCGGGGAGGGGTGACATTTTTCTCTCAGATAGTCTGGCATTTTTAACTTCTTTTTTTTTTTTTTTTTTTTTTTTTTTTTTTTTTTTTTTTAATATACTAGGCCTGATGTACATTAAGAGGTACTAAGTGACAGTCTCCTGATGCACCCTTCTGCTTCTGTGTGTGTGTGTGTGTGTGTGTGTGTGTGTGTGTGTACCATGTATATATGTGTATATATTCATGTGTCATTCTCCCCCCAAATATCACTGGTTGTAATTCTTTATATGGGCATTCACTTACTAAATCCACATATTAAAAGGTAAGATCAACCTTCAAGAGCAGGCAGAACTAGGGCACCTGAGCAGCTCAGTTGAGTGTCTGACTCTTGATCCTGGCTCGGGTCGTGATTTCACAGGGCTGTGGGAGTGAGCCCTGGGTCAGGACTCGTGCTGTCACTGGATCCTGCTTGAGATTCTCTCTCTCCTTCTGTCCCTCCCCAGCTCGTGGCACTCTCTCCCTCTCTCTCTCCTTCTCTTTCTCTCTCAAAAAAAGAAGAGACAGAACTGACCTACAGTGACAGCAGTCTGGTGGCAGTTACCCCGGACAGTGCAGTGACAGACAGATGTAGATTTCCGGGTCTCTGGCCGTGTCCGTATGTTAATCTAGTCAGTGATTTCATAGGACTGTCCATAGACCAAAGTGTTCCAGCTTTGGGCATATGACTTGTAACCTCTACCCTGAGATGATGCACATTAAAAAGAAGATGGTAAAGCCCATGGTGTTTGCAGAAAAAAAAAAAAAATGATTTCCAAGTTATTTTAGGATGAACTCAGGTACAAGTTTAGTTAGATATAATGAACTTACCAAAAGCTTTCTTTTTCTCCCCCACTCAGGACAGCTCACGTTACTGGTCCCTTCAGACCAAATCGGTCAAATTTAAAAATTAAACAAAAGAAACAAACCAACCTAACACCCTTGGTCTCACTGTGACATCCGTGTCCCTAAGTCTGTGTGTGAACCCGAGAACTTGTCGATTTAAGAAGCCACCTTGCCAGGACTCAGCACTGGGTTCTGGCACAGTAAGGACTTCACACAAGTTTCTAGAGGAAATGAATAAGTTAGTGAAAAGCTAAAAATAAATTTTCATGGAAAATTATGCAGCCTGTTAAATCTTCCTAATCTGACATGTTTTAATAACCAAAATGAAAACAGATTCATCGATGCTTCTCAGATTCCAGGTCTGAAAGAGTGAACGATGCTGAGAGAGGGAAATAAATACACCATGGCCCCCCCCATGCATAGTGCGTGTTTCCGTGTTTTTCATTAAAGTCTGAACTTAACCAGTAAGGTTTGGGTCCTCAGCATTGTAATCTCTTCTGTGGAGGGTGAGGAAGCTGGCCAGCCTCATAACTCATGTTAACTGCAAAGTGCATGTGGGACCCTGTGGGATTTCCTTGTTGCAAATCTGCGTTCCCCCAACGCCATTGGGCCCAGGATAGGGGTGGCCGTGGGCCTGCCTGCTCTGTTTCGGTCTTGAGGAAAAGCCAGAGAGGAGTCCAGTTCCAGATCCACTCTTAACCTCATGTGCGAGGTGGGAAGGTGGTTCAGTGCCTGTGGGCCTCTGTGTCTTCTCGTCAGGGACAACGGTGATATTTGCCTGATACCTTCTGTGGACCTATCATAATAATCATATGGAACCATAGCTGTAAAAGATGTAAAAATCAGGGCGCCTGGGCGACTCAGTCAGTTGAGCATCCGACTCAGCGCAGGTCATGATTTTGCATGTGGTTCATGGGTTCGAGCCCCACATCGGGCTCTGTGCTGACAGCTCAGAGCCTGGAACCTGCTTCAGATTCTGTGTCTCCCTCTCTTTCTACCTCTCCCCCACTCATGTTCTGTCTCTCTCTCTCTCTCAAAAAGAAATAACCATTAAAAATATAGATACGTAAAAATCCACGTATATTTATGTTACATTTTGTAGAAACTTAATATGTCACATTTTAATTATATTTAAAATGCACATGCCCTTTATAAAATATAAATAATGCCATATACATGAAATAAAATGCCCAGTAACCTCATAGATTTGGAAGGGCCTGAGAAACATCATTCATCTCAAATTCTTAAAAAGCAATCTAAAACTTCTATTTCAATGTTTATTGTTATTTTTTACTTTTGAGATTTTGGAAGCCACTTGTTATATATGTAAATTACTCTTTACATACATACACATATACACACCTATGAGTGTAAAGGGAAATTAATCTATAAACATAATAAAAAATATTATTTATATTAATAACATATAAACATATATAATATATATTGAAATATATATATTTATACACCAATATATAACATTAATATAATAAATATAATGTTGATGGATAACTAATAATATAAATAAGTAATATATATTTTTATTATGTTTTTAGGTTTATTTCCCTTTATACTTATAGGGTGTATACGTGTATATATATTTCAATATATACTAAATATAGATATTGAAATAAATACATTACATTAAATAAAATATATATTAAATGTAGATTAAATATGTGTGTGTGATGTACATGATTCATGTACATGTATATGTAAAAATAATATGCATATATAGAAAGAAAATTTATGAGGGAAGTTTGTAAATTTTAGCACCAGGCAGTGTATTTAAGTCGTGACCATGAAGGCCAGCTTGTGAGTCAGTGCCTCCCCTGGCTCTATTTAATGAAAAATGCTGAAAAGCCACATTCTTAAGTTACCGTGTGAGCTGCTTTGGGCAGGTTCGACAACATGGAAGTTTGGGGGTCCTTCCCGCTAAATTTCCTAAAAACTAACATGAGGGGTGTCTGGAAGGTGACACAGTGGAACCCAGGCAGTGCTCTCACGGGAGCCTAGGGTCCTAGATCGCCGTCCCAGAAGTGGGTCCAGGGCTGCCTGCAGGCTGCTTTCCTAGGTCTTGAGGACCCCACTTTCCAGGGGAGAGGTTCTGAGGGTGGGGATTAGAGCAGGGCCCAGGGGTTATCCAACTAAAGGTGGCCAAATTCTGGCTGCACCACCCAGGGCTCAGGACATAAGAATGCCTACCTCACCAGTGTTGGAAAGATTAAATGGGATATGCATATGGCTGTCTCAGACAAAGTAGGTGCTCAATAAATAGAAAATCTGGATTCTGTATGTAGATCTTAATCTACATGTAAATGGAGTACATGATCCTTTTAATAAACCAGAGGGCAATGATGGCGGACTCTTGGTCTGACATCCAGTCACGTCGTGACTGTTGAGCATGAAACCCCAATAAATGCAATGCACTTACACACACCTCAGTTCCCAGCAGACATCCCGCATAGATAATGTGTGAACAGAAACACCTCCCGGGATATAACTTTCTACAGAGGTTCTAATATTTTTTCTTGTATTCCACTAAATGTACATCCCAGGTGTGGTAATATCCCTCTTCAGTCATCTCCATAGAGGATATATATATGGGGACCAGAGTAAAAATAAGAAAGAACGTGAGTTTTAGACTTTGTTAAATAATATGCAGGAGGAATTAAATTTGTATTAAACTCAAATGCAATTTGAACCTGTGGGGGAATGATAGCCACAAAATAAACATAAATAAAGGAAGTCACATTTGGATAATAGATACAGAATCAAATTGTAAATTAGAGACTATTTCTTCTTCTGTATTTGAAGACCCATAAAGCCAAGAGCAATTTCTGTTTACCATCAAAGTGCACAATACATAAATTTTTATTTATGCTATTTATTTACATTTAAGTAGAACTCAAAATACCAAATCATTAAAGTAGAAATTACCTCCCCCCGTAGTTTATTTTGGACCTGTCATGGGGAATAACACATTTTGTGCAGGAATCACTACCTGTGGATCATTTAGATGACCAGCTAAACCAGGGATTTCTGCTATGTTGTAAACGTTTCAAGCCTGAATGGCTCAGTCTATTAAGCGTCCAACTTCGGCTCAGATCATGATCTCAAGGTTCATGGGTTCAAGCCCTGCATCAGTCTCTGTGCTGACAGCTCAGAGCCTGGAGCCTGCTTCATATTATGTGTCTCCCTCTCTCTCTGTTTCTCCCCCACTCATTCTCTCTCTCTCTCTCTCTCTCTCTCTCTCTCTCTCTCTCTCTTTCAAAAATAAATAAAACATTAAAAAAAACCATTTCAATATTCCATATATTATGGAATGCAGGCTGCACGTTCTGGACTAGTTTATTTTAAATGTAGAATATGATTTTTTTTTTTCTTGGTGATTCATCTGTTGTCTGCAGTTTTTCTTCACTGAAATTTACTGTAAATTGAACTGAAATTGAAACAACCCAGAGCCCGTTTCACGGGTCAGGATGTTAGCTGTGTTGTTTCAGTTTACATTCAATTCGATTGAATTTTGTTGTCTTTACGTATGAGGCATACATTCAAGTTAACCAGATGGATGAGTGAGTTCTTGTTACCATCTGTAGTTATGATATTATTGCTCTTTATTCATTTAGAAAATTATCTGTTTCATGCATTAATTACCAAAGAGCAAGAACATCTTTATTTTTCTTTTATCACATTAATGTAAAATAATGCCCATTACGGAAAAGACCATACCTATCTGCGTCTGAGGTCAGCGCAGTAACACGGACAGAATAATCATTAAGAATGAAGTGAAAATCCTATACATATTTTTGTCAATTTCACAAATGTTTGCTTGTGTGCAAAATAGTTCTGGTGCTTATCTAGAATGTGTAAGCACAACCCAATGCATCAAGGAAGCAGTGGACCTAAAATGCCAGGTCAGTTTCCTTTCATTTCATCTTTTTTTTTTTTTTTTAATGTCTTGTGTTATCACAAAATAATTCTCTTTCATCCTGTCCTTGAACAAAATAAATGTTTGTAGGTATACTTCCACAAATACATCACACAGTGTCCTTGATAAGATTTCTGTCTGTCAGATCATTTGAGCATCCAAATGTTACCCCAGTGGTGATTTGCTTCCACTTTTTATTTATACCTGCGGCTTAAAATTTGAACTGGATGGATTTTCTAGGTTTAAAAGAAAGGATATTTGCACAGTTACCTGCTTGAGTTTCATATGGCTGAGCAAAAAATAGATTTCTATGTTTCATGGTACTTACTTTTTAAAATTTGAACTGTAAACTTTTAAGGAAAAAAGTAGTTCTGAAATACCCTGGTTGCATTTATATGGATGAGGTGAAAAAAAAATTAAGCGATGTATCTAAATTAGTAGAATAAGTCACCCAGCATTTCATGTAGAACCTTCAGCTTGGGAGTTTAACTTCTATCAACAAGTTAAAGTAGAATTTTTCTTTTTAGAATTGTAAAATGTCAGTGTAAGTGTCGTGGGATGATAAAATTATTCTGAATCAAGACACCAGCGGGAAGACCACACTCAGTGTAGTTAAAGAAAATCTCTACCTGTTGATCATAAGTAGATCAACGCTGTCAGATGCGTAAGCTGTTTTCCCTTGAAACTTAGAATAAGACTTCAGTTTTCCAAGCTGTTGTGATGTATAGCTTCGAACTCTCACAAATCACGAATGAGGTGCTTTGACATTAAATGTCAACATAGTCCAAGGAGCTTTGTTAGTTGCGAAGAATGCCTATCAGTTAGGACTTGATAGTGTGTTAATTAACATTGAAAGGATTAAATATATTGCCTTTGATTTGTCTTTTGGTGCTTGAAAATTGTCTTATCAAGAATAAATAAGTTGTACAAATCTACTTTCTCAAACACTAAAAATGATTCTGACTTGAGGTCCATGGGGGTGTATCTGAGACCAGGAGCAGCGTGGTCAGGCTGCAGGCAGCGGGGTCCGGGAGGCTGGTAGTTCAGTGCCTGTCCCGGGTCACACTCTGCAGACTGGGACGTCTTCTGAAGTCACATTTGACAGATTGAAGGATAGGGCGTTTAATTAAAAAACTGGGAGGCACGAGACTAGGATTCAATTGAATGTCTGTTTGAACATGCTTCCAGAGTATTTTCGGTGTTGTCCCAGTGTTTTCAGTGTTTCCTTAGCAAAAGTAATGCCCAAGTGAATAAAATAATGAGAAGGAAAGTAAAGACACGCACACGCGCGTGCACACGCACGCACGCACACACAGAGCTCTGCACGTAACACTTGTTACTGTATCTGCCCTGGCTTTCTCATTATGAATCAATTCAGTTTTCAATCAAACTTACAGAGACCCCGGCTTATTAGTAATTGTACATGCTACTCTTGAACCGAGTCTTTGAGATGAAAAGTTCAACAATGAAAAGCTAAAAGCAAACATTATTTTTTCTAAGCCCTGTAGTAATGTAAAA